GTTCTACAGCTTGTAATTATGTAAAACAGTTCTTCTTTGATTTGTTTTTATGTTTCGGTGTTGTTGTGGTTCTCAGTCTCAGGTGTTCGATTGCTGCACTTGGATCAATTCAAAGATCTTCTTGGGGTGAGATTGGTGGAAGGTCAATTGAAAATATGCGTCGACGTGTGGTTTGTGTTGATGCAATAAGGACAAATGTCCATGTTAGTGTTTTAAAGCCGATAGCTGCAAATGCTTAATAATGATTCATAGCTTGCTGTGCTAGCGTCCTCCTGGTAACTCGAAGTTGTGATGTTTCGACATGACCAATCGAGAAAGGATAATTTCTAAAGACCTTTGCTGGATTAAAGTCCTCGATGACTTCCTCCTGACCTTCGCAGTATGAAAAACTTTCAGAAGCTCTCTCCACTTTCGGGATCCACAATTTTGGCGCTGCGGTGAAAGTGAGATGTGATTTATCTTTCGTAGCAAGGGTGGAGCATGTTTTTTCCAGGGTAGAGCTCGTGCGCTCATAACAGGTAGTTGCAGTGGTGGTCTACTAGGTGAGTCTGAGTTGACGTTGAATTGAGAGCAACCTTATTTGTCTCTGAATAGGGAAGACTCCACATTCTTGTTATACGTGGTCCTCGTAGCTCACCATGGTTTCATCCCAAGTTGAGTCGAAAGGACACTTTTCTGATTCCTCTGCGATTGCTCGATGCTAGTTGAGTCGATTTTAATTGTAGAGGGAGAACCGTTTTCCAATAGAGGATTCTCAAAATATGCGTATCGGATCACTTGAATTTATTTAGCTTGGCCCGATTTTGTACCCGGCTGAGCTTCAATTACGTTTACTCTGTTTCGTCCATGTCGTTGATAAGTGTGCTGAAATTGAAACCTGTTCGGGTCCAGGTGATCTAAGATTGATTATGAGTAGGTAACTAAACTACGGCTAGTTATAAAAATGATCAATATAAGAAAGGGGATTTTTCAGTTATTCATGATTCTTCTGTCTCCGACCCAAAAACTTATACCTATCGTACGTCAGGTTCGGAATTACTGCGAATTTGTAAGCCAATGAATTTCGCGTTGTCTTCTGTTTTTTTCTTTGTACTTCCTCGTTGTATGCCAAGATAGCTTGTCTATTTTTGTCTTCTCTCTCCGCCCGATGATTTCGGTCTTAGGTTGTTTCGTAAGGTTCTGGAATTGGGTATCTCAAATCGGGTCTGGCCGGTGGGTTCGTCACATCAACTGGATCTTTACCAAAAATTGCTAGTTGGAACTTTTCGGATCGTTTTTCCCAATCTTGGTGGCTTTTGCTTGATGAGCTGTTCCAGAAAAATTCAAGTCCTCCTAGTTTCAAATTGTTACACTGCGCCATGTTAACCTAGATAGTTAAAATTGATCACAGACTCAATATGATTAGGTATCTAAACTTCCACAACCTAAACAAGATAAATAAAAAAAGGAATGTGTACTAAGATAATTTTAGTAGAATTTCAAATAAAGATTAGTTTAAAAAACGGCAAAATCAAGATGCTGGTACAAAACTAAACAGAGATTAGTTTAAAAAGAAATTTTGATCACTCCCATAACACCATAAAGACAATTTATTGCCAAAACTTTCTGCGCCTCGAAAACAAAACAGATATAAAATGCCGTTTTTGGTCAGTTTTGAAAACTTTTTTGATCTAAAAAGTGCGTTTTTTTTCGGCGCGCGCTCGCACATTCAAAAATTAATACTTTTTGGCACCAAATGCAATTTTAAAAAATTCTAAAGTTCGTCGCTGAAAATTGATGTCATCTATTCTAATTGATCTAAGATTGATTATGAGTAGGTAACTAAACTACGGCTAGTTATAAAAATGATCAATATAAGAAAGGGGATTTTTCAGTTATTCATGATTCTTCTGTCTCCGACCCAAAAACTTATACCTATCGTACGTCAGGTTCGGAATTACTGCGAATTTGTAAGCCAATGAATTTCGCGTTGTCTTCTGTTTTTTTCTTTGTACTTCCTCGTTGTATGCCAAGATAGCTTGTCTATTTTTGTCTTCTCTCTCCGCCCGATGATTTCGGTCTTAGGTTGTTTCGTAAGGTTCTGGAATTGGGTATCTCAAATCGGGTTTGGCCGGTGGGTTCGTCACATCAACTGGATCTTTATCAAAAATTGCTAGTTGGAACTTTTCGGATCGTTTTTCCCAATCTTGGTGGCTTTTGCTTGATGAGCTGTTCCAGAAAAATTCAAGTCCTCCTAGTTTCAAATTGTTACACTGCGCCATGTTAACCTAGATAGTTAAAATTGATCACAGACTCAATATGATTAGGTATCTAAACTTCCACTCTAAACAAGATAAATAAAAAAAGGAATGTGTACTAAGATAATTTTAGTAGACTTTCAAATAAAGATTAGTTTAAAAAACGGCAAAATCAAGATGCTGGTACAAAACTAAACAGAGATTAGTTTAAAAAGAAATTTTGATCACTCCCATAACACCATAAAGACAATTTATTGCCAAAACTTTCTGCGCCTCGAAAACAAAACAGATATAAAATGCCGTTTTTGGTCAGTTTTGAAAACTTTTTTGATCTAAAAAGTGCGTTTTTTAGATCAAACCTGAATTTAGTTTTCATGACCGAAATAACAATAATTCAAAAGGCGATACGCTTTTGGCAGGTACGTTTAAATGACTTACATAACAGAAATTAGGCTTGAAGGTTAAAACATACATTTCACATAGTGTTTAGACTTTTAGTTTTCAGCGCAATGTCAGTGCTTGACCGAAACCGAATAGTCGAGGCAGGGCCAAAACTCAAAACATACATCGAGCGCTGTCGAAACTTACCAATTTTTGGTCGAAAAATTTTATACATACCTCGAGTAAGGCCGAAACATACCAAAGTCTCCACTGTATGCCTTTGCCGAATATCTATAACCATAAAGGACCAATTTTTAGGATACATCTTGAGCCCAAACTACACAAATAAAAAATTGAACCGTCTGAACAAAATTCTTCGGTTAAAATCTTTATAGCGCATTTCATGTGAACTTTGTCTTTATAATCATATTTGAGAAATCTTCATTCTCATCAATTTGAACCACTTTAACACCTGCCGACTTCCTTTTGCTTAAAACTAGCCAAATATAAAAAAAAATCCGTTTCCAATTCCAATATGGCCCAATTACAGCAAAAAAATGTTTCGTGATTCAGTTATGAGCCGTTTATCCTTGATTGAGCGCTTTTTGATTAGGTATTCTGGCATTTAAACTTAATTTTTCTTGAACAAATTATCAAGCCAAAATCGCTTAGATCGGAAAAACGGTTCGAAAGGTTCCAACTAACAATAATTGGTGAAGATTCAGTTGACGTGAATAAACCCAACGACCAGACTCGATTTAAGTTACCCAATTCCAGAACCTTAAGAAAAAACCTAAGACCGAAATCATCGGGCGGAGAGAGAAGACAAAAATAGACAAGCTATCTTGGCATACAACGAGGAAGTACATAGAAAAAAAACAGAAGACAACGCGAAATTCCATGGCTTACAAATTTGAGACATAAACATAAAACTAAAGTCCCAACTGCACCTAGTTCTCCTTCTACAATTAAAATCGACTCAACTAGCATCGAGCAATCGCAGAGGAATCAGAAAAGTGTCCTTTCGACTCAACTTGGGATGAAACCATGGTGAGCTACGAGGACCACGTATAACAAGAATGTGGAGTCTTCCCTATTCACCCGCTCCTCCCCTTAAATCCGCCACTGATCGCGTCCCTTAAAAAATCAAAGGGATCTGGTTAACAATACCTTACTCCATACTGCTAAAGTATAATTTCTTACTCAAATAAATTTCACAAATGCTTAACCATTGGACGAATTATCGTTACAGATGAGGATAACTGTTACAAGATATCATTTGATCGTTCGTGTTTATTGAGAGGATCAGAGGTATTCTTATAAACGACCCCCGGAAGATCTTTGTATTGATACAAGTGCAGCAGCCAAAGTGGCAGTGAGAACCACAATAACCCGGAAACATGATAACAAATCAAAGAAATTTTTTAACATAAATAAAAGCTGTAGGTTTTTTAAATGTCGCAACGGGCAGATGTTTTCACATTTTTTTTAAACAACTCTGATCTGCTTAGTAATTTAGAAAATTTTAAAAAAATGTACATTTTTTGTCAGTTAATATTTTTTCAAAAAATAAAGGGATAACGAAAGTGGCACAAAGTTTCCACAATGTTTAAAAAAAAAACGCTAAAAAGAAAGTTTTTTTTTCAAACAAGTAGAAAGGAACTTTGCAACTTAATCAGGTTTTTTGTCAACCTCAACTTTTTTCTGAATATAGTTCGTAAGATAAATTCTCAATTTAAATCAGTTTTCTCTAACATTATAAAATATTATCACAAAAAATTCTAGTTTTTGCTCAAAATTTCTTTACAATTTGTATTTAATAAGCTTGCGAATTGTGCTTAGGTTGGGCTTGTTTAGATTAAGAAGTTATTTGATTGTTATTCCCGTTGTTTTGAAATATTTGCTTACTGCTTATTTGCTCATACCTCCCGCTCCTCCCCCTAAATCCGCCCCTGATCGCGTCCAGTAAAAAGTTAAAGGGATTTTGGTTAACAACACTTTACCCCATACTGCTAAAGAGTGATTTCTTTTTCAAATAAAATTTCACAAATGCTTAACCATTGGACGAGCTATCGTTACAGATGTGGATATCTGTTACAAAACATCCTTTGGTTGTGATTGTTGAGAGGATCCAAGGTATTTTTATAAACGAATTCCTTAAGATGATGCTCTGCTCTTTTATTGCTTTTTGCAGAGAAACAGTTTTTGCCAATATTTGATAATAAAACATCATTAAACATTATTTGAAACATTTAAGCGTTGGTTTATCTTACAAACTTGCGTTCAAAACTTACATTGATATCTCGTTCGAATCTGGCCTTATGTTGTTGGAATTTGGTTTTTGACTTTTGATTCTTTGAACTCTTGGTGAGTATATTGATGTTGAGGGTGTGGCTTATAACGCGTCAAGCTTGGCTCAAGCTTCTGTTTACAAAGAGTAAGTACAATATTTGCTTCTCTTTCTTATTTCATTTGATAGTAATTATGATCAGTACAACAGTCGTTATTGTGTTCTGTTCTTTCTGCTTGGCCCCTTTTTTGGCCCAATCTGAAACTCTATTTGTCTACCCGGATGTTTTTAATGAAACAAGTCGAGATAAGTTTGTGATTGGTTCTTTTCCCGACTACTTTCAGTTTGGAACCGCGACTGCCGCCTACCAAATCGAGGGCGCCTGGAACGTTGATGGCAAGGGTCCCAGTATTTGGGACACTTACGTCCACTCAAGCCCAAGCCCGGTCTACAATAATGAGACTGCAGATGATGCCGATAAAAGCTACTACCTTTGGGACCGAGATGTCCAAATGATGCAGGAACTCGGGGCGAAGTTCTACCGCTACTCGTTTTCGTGGCCTCGGATTCTACCCAAAGGAGTGTACAAATCTGACGACGACGTGAACTGGGCAGGCGTACAGTTCTACAATGAGACGGTGAATAAATTGATCGCTGGCGGAATCGAACCTGTAGTCACTCTTTTCCACTGGGATTTGCCGCAAGCACTTCAAGATCAAAACGGATACCTCAACGCCGATTTTCCGACATGGTTTGCAGGCTACGCCCAGTTGTGCTTTCGTCTTTTTGGCGACCGTGTTCAGAATTGGATCACGTTTAACGAACCACAAACCGTCGCAGACTGTTTTGAATATGGAAATTGTGCTCCTGGAATCTACATGCCTGGGGTTGGGGGCTACCAGATTATACATCAGTGGCTTCTAGCGCACCAAAAAGCCTGGCATATTTACGATGATAACTACAGAAGCGCACAACAAGGATTAGTAGGGATGACAATTTGTGGTGGATGGTGTGACCCGAGTTCTCAAGGTCAAGCTGACATCGATGCTGCCCAAAGGTCAATGCAGTTCGGGATGGGATGGCTGATGTCTCCTTTGATTGGAACAGGTAATTACCCTCAGGTAATGATAGACTACGTCGGAAATACTAGCAAGGCCCAAGGCTTCAACCAGTCTCGGCTTCCGACTTTCTCTGCCGAGGAACAGAAACTGCTTCTCGGAGCTTCCGACTTCTTCGGTTTGAACTACTACTCCGGGGCTATCTGTCAGGCTGGAAACTGGACACCTGATCCGACTCCAAGTATGGCTAATGATCAGTATGTAATAGCGTACAAACCAGATGATTGGCCAAAATCAGCGTCCAATTGGCTACAAAGTAATCCGTGGGGTATCCGAAATATGCTTAACTGGGCACAACGTTATTACAGCAATTTCAACACCCCGTGGTACATAACTGAAAATGGGTGGAGTTCCTACCCTACTCCGTGCGAAGATACAATGGACGTGAACAAAACGCAGTACCTAGTCGCACATGTGAACGAAGTTTACAAAGCCGTGCAAGATGGAGCCAACGTCCAAAAGTACATATTCTGGTCACTAATGGATAATTTTGAGTGGCGCGACGGCTTCAGTAAAAAGTTCGGCGTTTACTGCGTAGATTTTGATGACACTGACAGAAAAAGGACTGCCAGGTATTCGGCAAATATCTACGCTGACATAATGAAAAATCGTGGCTTCGAAAACCAAACTATGATTAATGAATTGATTCAAAACGGAATCCTGACAGCAGTTTGAGTAGCATCACAACTTTATATAAGTTAAAATTTCGAACATAGACAGAGAGCGGCTGATGGTTTAATATAGTTCTTAGATCTATAATCAGCTTGTAAAGAATCTTTTAACCCCGTATTGCATACTTATTTCAATAAAAATTGTTCTTGACGGAGAGTTATTGTTCAGGATAGCATTTATTCGTTCCGCTATGAAACTTGATACATTTTGTAAAAATACAGCTTTACTCTAAGGTCCACAAATATTTTGCATCTATCTAGATGTCATTAATATTGCACACTTCAAAAACAAAAAGTGCTGAACTGAAACAGAAAAAAAACATCATGAAAAATGTCTTAACAAAGCAAGCTGCAAAGCAAGCTTAAAAGAGCAAGTGACAATTCATTGAGCCACAAAAACAGTAGATCTTTCCTCGTTGAAAGATACAAGTAATCTCAAAGGGTATCGTCAGTGGGTGCATTCAAAGGACTTTCTCTGGCTTATTTCCTACTTAAAGAAAATATGGCATGTAAAAAAAATGATACCAACTACTGGGTGTTTTGTAACGAACCTTAAAGATCTTGCCATAAAATTTACATATTTGCATTTAAGCCATAAAAACTATGCTGACCGTTTTCTACTTTATACTGGTCACTTTCAATCATCTCAGGCATCAAAAATTGAAATTCTATTATTCAGAATTTTTAAAGTGTTTAATAGACTCTAAAAGTGTGGACTTAACCGGAGATGTTGGTAATTTTCAAAATACTCAGTCTAAATCTACTCTCAGTTTTTTTTTGTTCTAATGATCTGTTTACACCAACTCATCCTGTTTTTTTTTTGAATTTAAAAAAATAGATTAAGATCCGAGTTCTCTGAATGAGCGAATTCTTCATGGGCAAAAGATAGAATGTTCGAAAATTATTTCCAATTTTGAAGAAAAGAAGCAATAAAATCAGCCAATTTTGGACTAATTAAACGGCACTCTTTGGTTGAGAACTTCCGCACATATGATAATTTGTTCATGAAAATAGCGCCCATTCTGAAAAGCAACTGCTCACCATGATTCAAATTTGACCATTTGAGTTCCAGGCATTTGAGTCATTTCAATTTAAGTAAAACTTTCAAACTGATTGGTTCATAGTTAGTTGTTCCTGTAAAGGGTTCCGCAAGTTATTTAAATGAAAGAAGCATTTCAGACAAATTATGCCTCACTCAATATAGTATCAGTCTGGTTGCTAGTTGAAGTTTTTTCGTTAATCATATCATAATAAACAATTTTTCAACAAACATTTTTGATTTTTCATTTCGGCTTCCGACCATTTGCTTCACTTTAAAAGAACATTCATTTTTTTAGTTATGGCTTTTTTCTTGTTTTTTTCAGGTTCCTTCATTTTGATTCTTTTTCTTGCTTTTGTTTAAATCTTCTAATTCTCAGTTATTGAAAATATGGATTTTTAACCAAAAACATCGGAAATATCATTTAAAAAAATCATGAAAATCTGTTATATTTATTTGTTCCATTATTCAGTTATAAACTTAGCAAAGATAACCGGTTACTCTGCAATTAGCACAGAATGTTCCGACTATAGTTTTGTAAAAAAAAAAAACAGAAAAACTTGACAAACTATGGTAGATTTTTCTGCGTGATGTGATAAAAATATAATCATTTCTGTTAGAAGAAAAAACTTTTTTCCGAAATTTTTTGAGTTTTTGACGTTTTGATTATAAAAATGACGCTAATAACTTTTTAAAAAAATTTTACAAAAATTTCAAATAGGTTTTTCTCGAACCAAGAAAAAATTTTCATTTTTTCACGTCGTTGACATAACGACTGAAAAAGCTTTAATATGATAAACATCACTCGTATCATTCCGATGAAGATTTCTAGCAACTGATTTTGCGTAGGAAACAACAATGAAAAAAATTAAGACAAAACCGAACCCAAAGTTTTTTCACATTTTCAAGGGTCGGAAAAAGTGAAAAAATTTGCTAGTTTTCTTAAATTTTCGACAATGAGCTTGCTTTGTGCAGCAGTTTTTTTATTTGATTTTTAGAGGCGGTTTTGAATTTTCACACTGAACCTGATCAGCCCTCTTTTGAGCCTTGCTTTGTAAGTTTTCGCCTATTTTCTAAAAGTGTTGCTACGCAAATGTAAGTTAGAGTATAAATGCATACAAGACTGCTCGTATCAGGGCGAAGCCCTGAAAGTTCCGACTGCTTTTTAACGTTTATGGAGCAGTAATAACATAAACAACATAAAAAAATTAAATGAAATAAAAAAAATGAAAAACGTTTTTTCTGAAATTTGAAAATTTTTCTATGAAAATCATCCCCCCACATACCATATAAAGTACAAAACAATAGATTTCGCTCCTTGTAACAAATCAATTATGGCAAATAAGCTTCTTTTTTACCAATTTGGAACGATTTATAAGACGGAAATAAATCTCCGCTTACGCGTTAATAACGCGAACTATATCGCGCGTTAATTGTCCCAAATTGGCAATTTTTAAACCCGCATATTTTTTTACGAAAAATGGTCACAGGTGAAATATCTTTTCAAATTTAGGCTTAGGACAACAATAGTTTTCGAATGATTTTAAAAAATTCCGTCAAAAATGGCTAGTTAAAAAGTCGAAATTTGTCTGAAGAAATAAAAAAACCATCCCGAGCACAAATATTCCGTTACTTTCGTATCAAAAGTCGGAACAATAAAGGCAAGCTCATATGGCCAGTTGGCCGCTTGGTCAAGAGACAAGTCTCTCACCCCGATCAACCGGTTTCGATTTCCTTCTTTTGCAGACGTTAAAACATGTAGACCCGAGAGACTATAGACCCATTTGATAATTTTTTTTACTGTTTTTGGTACTAATTCGATTTAGCCTTGATTAAGGCTGACCGCCAATAGAGCAAATTGTCTAAAGAATATTTTTACCGGTTCTTTTCGCTAGCTTGCACCAATTTGTACCGTATCATGTTTTATGATGATATGCTCGATCGAAAATATGATGAATTATGGAGTTTTTTAGAGTTTTTGCAATAAATGCTCTGATTAATTCGAGCATTCAACTTCATAGTTATTACCAATTTACGGAGATTGAGTGCGAGTTTTTTGGTGTCGCGGCCCGGGAACCGAAGAACACACGAAGTCGACACAAAGGGCCTCGTTTCCTTAATATTGATCCAGAAATCGGAATAGTGCTCACAACAAATAACCCCGATGACTGCCAGAACATTTCCTGTTTTGAGTCATATCGAACGGAGCGTTCAGATTATTAAGTGCAAGTTCTTTAACAAATATGTCGACGAGTTAGAGGAGGAAACGTTGATTGGCTCTGGTCATCCTCAGATCAGATATCAGGAAACGGGACCAAGGAGAGTAACGCGCTGCTTTGTTGGGGTTATCATTTATTGATAATCGAAATGGTTGGCAGTACTTGGAGACTGTTTACTGCACCTTCGGAGTCGGAATACCGTAACGGCGGCAAGGAGAAGGAGATTAGGTAAATCGGAGGCCTTTTTTACAGGTAGAGCGAAACAGAGGCCTTTTCATCGGGTATCGTGACCACTACGCCGATAATTTCAAGGCCGACAACATCATAGCCGTTATCTGCAATCCGCAGAGGCCGACAACTTCGAAGGCAAGCAGTTTTAGAAGTCGACATTTTGGTGCGCACATGTTTTTGGAAACTAGTTTCCGCATCGGTGCCTCCAATCTCCGAAAAACTGTAAATAGGTTCCAGAAGTTCACTTTCAAAGTCCAAAAAATTTATGCATTAAAATTACATACACTGTATTCATGTTTAAAATATTGTCGTAGGCCAGCACCCCGTATTTTTCTCAATATTCAAATTTTTTGGGCAGTTCCGTGGAATTGAAGTATCTTACAATCGGTAATTAAACATTTGCTTTACATTTTTTCTCGATACCAAATTTTTTTTGGATATATGTGAGCGGAAAATTGATCCGTGAAATTGGAACATAGACAAGAGGTACTAGAGTAGTATTTTGGTTTGGTTTATGACTCGAACCCACTGAAAAATTTTGTGAAACAAGAAGAAATTGTCTAAAACTCCTCAAAAGGTCCCCAGAAATCTGCGAAATTGTGCTGTACGATGACACTAACCTTATGTTAAGTGGTCTAGTAGTGAATTATCAGGCTAATTAAATTAAGTTTTTTCATCCTCAGGTTTCTTCCGTGTGTGTTGTTGGAACTTAACCAATTTGCTTGATACCCCATCCAGCTTTGATAAACTGGAAGCCAGTTCGCTTCAAGTGTATCAAATCCGTTTGCTCCCATCCGATTTTTGACTTCGTTAGTTAATAGTGATGTTAAGTGGACAGGTCCTGTGATCTTAACTGGGTTCAGTTCAATTTTTTCATCCTGTGTTGTTGGAGTTCAACAGACCTTCCTAATTTTACATCCCTGTTGGTACTTAAGCGAAACGTAGCCGTCGCATTAACATAGGTCACTTGAAAGTATGGTATTCATTCTAGGATCAAATTCCTTGGATCACGCGCTTCACAAACTTCTCGCTCCGTAGCAGAAGCGCGTCAAAGATACTTGCTTTACAAAACAAGCTTTAAGTTTGAACCATAACTTGTCTCACTGTAATGACCTCGTAATTTGGCACGGCACCATTAATAATACTAAAAGTAGGCACCGCAGTAATAACAACCGCAAATTGAGTAGTGAGCAACTTGTCAGTTTTTTAATTAGTTATTAGACAATTATTTGTGCGACCGATTACTTTAGACGCAACAGAACTGAAGATAAAGAGTAAAGCTCAGTTTCAACAGGTATTCTCGTTCTGAACACCGTCAAAGACTTCATCTCTAAGCGTAAAGCTAAAGACCAGGAACTAATTGAGAAGTTCAAAGAGCTCCACCAGCCTACTTCCAAATTTACGTACTTAAAAACACTCGTCACAGGCAAAGCAAAACCGCAATTGCGGAGTTTAGTTATAGTGGCGTTATATACAAAGATGCACTGGCCACCTTGCAATGGAAGTTTGGGCAACCACCCGCTGTTGTTGGCGCGCATCGTGATAAGCTGAATACTTTTCCACCACTTAAGATGCACAACTCGCAAAATATCATTAGTTTCTCCTCTGCCATATCTGGCCTCGTAGCAGTTTTCAAATCATTGTCCTTCAAAGATGA